AGTGTGAGAAGTGTATGTGGTGTGTGTGTGAGTCTGTATGAGTGTGGAGGTGTGAGTGTGAGAAGTGTATGTGGTGTGTGTGAGAGACTGTATGAGTGTGGAGGTGTGAGTGTGAGAAGTGTATGGTGTGTGTGAGACTGTATGAGTGTGGAGGTGTGAGTGTGAGAAGTGTATGGTGTGTGTGAGAGACTGAGTGTGGAGGTGTGAGTGTGAGAAGTGTATGTGGTGCGTGTGAGAGACTGTATGAGTGTGGAGGTGTGAGTGTGAGAAGTGTATGTGGTGTGTGTGTGAGTCTGTATGAGTGTGGAGGTGTGAGTGTGAGAAGTGTATGTGGTGCGTGTGAGAGACTATGAGTGTGGAGGTGTGAGTGTGAGAAGTGTATGTGGTGTGTGAGAGACTGTATGAGTGTGGAGGTGTGAGTGTGAGAAGTGTATGTGGTGCGTGTGAGAGACTGTATGAGTGTGGAGGTGTGAGTGTGAGAAGTGTATGTGGTGTGTGTGAGAGACTGTATGAGTGTGGAGGTGTGAGTGTGAGAAGTGTATGTGGTGTGTGTGTGTATGTGAAGCCGTTCCCTGAGGCCGGGCTAGAGGTGGAAGGAGGCGGAGCCTGCAGGCCTGGGAGGAAGCCACGCCCCCACCCCCCACCAGCCGGTGGGCTGCGCTCCTCACTTTGAGTCTATAGCTGCACTCCCTAACGTTTACTTTTTCTTTGGGGCCGGCCCAGTGGTGCACTGCTACAGTGCGCTGCTTGAGAGCGCAGCAGCACTCCCGCCAAGGGTTCGGATCCCACATACAGACCGGTTCCCGCTCACTGGCTGAGTGAGGTTCAGGTGTGACACTGAGGGTTGCGATCCCGTTGCCGGACATGAAAAAAGACAAAAAGGAAAAAGTTTTAAATTTTCTGGGCCGACCCTGTGGCTCACTCTGGGGAGTGCAGTGCTGGGAGCACAGCGGTGTTCGCGCCACGGGTTCAGATCCTATCCCACCACAGGTTTGGATCCTATTCCGCTGCGGGTTCGGATCCTATACAGGTATGGCCAGTGCGCTCACTGGCTGAGTGCGGTGCGGGCGACACCAAGCCAAGGGTTGCGATCCCCTTACAGGTCACAAAAAAAAAAAAAAAAAAGGAAAAAACTTTTTTAAAAAAAGTTTTAAATTTTCTGATTACAAAATATTACACTTTGAGTAAAAGCATAAACAAGTAAAATTACAGTTTGTAAATCCACTTCCCCACCCCCAGAGAACACAGTTAATATTTTGGTACCTTTGAGTCTTTGCTTACGTCCATTTTTATGACGTGGGAACATACTGACTATATCGCTAACCAACCCATGTTTCCCAGCTTCGGATCTTCAACAGTTGCCCACGATATTAAATACGCTTTTTTTTTTTTTTTTTTTTTTTTTTTTTTTTTACGCTTTTAAACCAGCCTTCAGCACAGAATTTCATCATAAGTACTGTTGAGAAAATATAAGGAAACCGGTCAGGGCCCCTGGGAGGTTCGGAGTCTGGCCAAGCGGCTGTGGGCATGCGCGTGCGCAAGGGTGTTCCTTGTGATTGCGCATGTGCTTCCGGGTTGTTGTTGTTTTTAAATTATGGACTTGAGTATAAAGGACTAACTGCCCAGATGCGGGAAGCTTCTAGAGGACGCTCCAGGAAGCCCTATTCGGTCGGCTGTTCCTACTTCTGAATAAAGCTTATTATTTCTTCACCCACAGCTCCAAGGACGTTTTCCTATTACCTAGATTGAAGACCTGCATGTGGAGGGTTTGTGACCCGGTCTGGACAACGGGCTCGACGGGTGACACCCGAGCCCTAGCTCTACAAGTGCAGATCATAATTCAACACATTAGTAGGCATTAAATAATTTTTTTCAGTTCTATAAAGTGTGTCTTCTATACATCCTTGAGATAAATTCCTAGAAATGAAATTACTGGGGCAAAAATATAACCTTGTAGGAATTTTGATTCATGGAAATGTAAAGGATAAAAATGTTACTAAAATAAGTAGTTGACCCTTTATATAAACTGTTACTATTATCACAGAATTTGTTACCAACAGGCCAGGCTCGGCTTGCCCTCTCTCCTTAAACAAATGACCTGAAAATCCAAAAGTTGATGCAGGGATTGGCAGGTTTATTCAGATTACCGGTACTCAACTAAATGTCTAACCAAGCAAACAAACAGAGAAAAGAGGAGCAGTGGGGTCCAGTTTAGCCTAGTCCTAATCTGCGGGGCCAACCTATTCCATTAACAGTAATTGATACAAGTTCTCCCCATTGTTTTCAGCATAAAGAAGAAAAGTATCGGCTAGATTTAAATTAGAAAAACAAAGCATAGCCAGGAGCCCTCCAGGGTGCACCTACATACAATCCAACCAATCAGCAGAAGAGGGCTCAGAAAATCAGAGAAAGGTAAAGAGAATAAAGCATTGCCTTGTCAGAAGTTAGGCCAGGGACTCCAGGAGATACTTACCAGCAGCAGAGACATGGGAGCAAAATAGTCCCAGTGGCCACTTGCCTCTTGCAGCTAGAATCCTCTCTGGTACCCAAAGCTTTCCAGTTTTTGCCAGTGATTAAATTAGGCTCTCCGATTCCAAAGTCATAGAAATGAACAATGTACCCAAATAGTAAAGCAAGCACCACTTTATTAAAAGAGGAGATAGACTTATGCATGGGGGGTAGCAACAGTATAGCTAGCCCCCTGAGGGGAGCTGTTCAGGGTCTTTTATAGGGAAAGGAGTTAAGGGGTGGCAGGCCAGTGTCACTGGAGGTGGTCCGTTCCGTTCTTCCTGGTTGCGTCATGGGTGCATGCTCAGTAGGCAGTGGTGTGCATCGCTGTCACCCCAGGAGGGTCATTGTAGCAGTCACCTTGATGCTTTGTGCCCAGATGGGAATTCCTAAAGGGGTCTTAAGGTTAATCTGTAACTTTTACAATCATAGTAAACAAGCCCTGGGGAGGGGTTTTGCAACTCAGTAAATATCTGTTTCCTCTCTTATCTCGGTCTGTTTTGTCAGGGCAGCCCCTGGGGTAATCATTTGCCCTGAGGGGTCTCATGACTGAGGAGTGGAAATGTAACAAAGTGTCCTCTGCAGGGAAAATGGAGTCAGTTTGGTTCACAGGCCTAGCCTTACCCTTTTTCAAAATTACAACTTAATCCTTGTTTTCTTGCACCATGTCCAGAAAATAGGGTTTCATCATAAAGCAGAGAGAAAGAGGGTCGGTTTGGAGCTGAAGGGCAATGACCTAATGACTGGCACAGCAGCTGTATTTGTTCGGGTGTGTTTTGATTTGTCCCAAAGGTTTCTGTTTTTTCACTTAAAACATTTTTTCTTCGATGTGTTTTCTCATTTTTAAATTGAGATATAATTCACATACTATAAAATTCACTCTTTTAAGGCATACTAGTCAGTTGTTTTTAGTATATTCACAGTTGCGCAACCTTCACCACCATCTAATTCCAGAACATTTTCATCACCCCCAAAGTTAACCCCACACCCATCAGCAGTCACTCCCTATGGCTCCTCCTACCTAGCCCCTGGCAACCACTAACCTACTTTCTATCCTTACGGATTTCCCTGTTCTGAACATTTAATATCAATGGAATCATACATACATGGTCCTTTGTGACTGGCTTCTTTCACTTAGCATGGTGTTTTCAAAGTTAATGTATGTTGTAGTGTAAATCAGTACTTCATTCCTAGTTATTGCCTGTCTTCCACTGTATGGAGATACCACAATCTATTTATTCATCAGTTGATGGGCATTTTGGTTGTTTTCACCTTCTGTATGTTATGAAATAATATTGCTGTGAACATTCTGTAAGATTGCTGAGGAAGGAGACGCTAGCCAGGTAAAGGAAGAAAAGATTTTACTAGCAAGCAGCAAGCAGACCTGCCAGGCTGAGCTGAAAAATGGTATCAGCTCTCAGAGGCAGTTGGTTGTCTTCTTTTATAGGGTTAAGATTAGCATCTGGCCTAGCCTAGGAAGACAGTCACAATGTTCCATTGCAGGTACAGTTTGCTTATGGGAACAGAGACTTGGGGAGACAGAAACCTTGGGCTAAGGGAGGGAAACAGTTACAATATTACTCTAAGTACAGCTTGCTGAGCCTGCTCATGGGAACAGAGACTTAGGGAGATAGAAACTTAGAGGAATGAAACTTAGAGAAACAAAACCAAAGGTTGTGGGCTTTTTAATAGTCAGGTTCTCAGTTACAAGGACCTAACACATTCATGTACAAGTTTCTGTGTGGATGTATGTTTTCATTTGTCTTGGGTATGTATCTAGGAGTGGAATTGCTGGGTCATAATTATATGCTTAATTTTTGAGGAACCACTGAACTGTTTTCCAAAGTGGCTCCACCTGTCAAAAAGTTTTGGTTCTTATCTTCTCCATTGCTCTTGTTCTTGTTTATTTATGTGCATATCCCTGGACTGGCAATAGCAGATGGTGCAGTGGAGGCAGAGATGGGTGTAGGGGCCTATGTGGTTGTGCAGATCAACTGCTCCCTCTTCTGTCACTCGAGTGAAGGGCAGTTTCTTTAATAAATGATACCCTTTTTCTGCTGTCATAGGTTGCTACTGTGCTCTCTTGCTTCAGCTGGCCTTTGCTTTTTAAGCTATTTTTCTCTTTTCCTCTCTTCTATGTGTGCTGTAGACATGAGCAAGAGGTGGTTTTGTTTTCTTTCCTTGTTCATCTGTCAGTTTTAAGGAGAATGGGTGGTGTCCGGTTCAAATTGGCTGTGGTAAGTAACAAGAGGAGCCAGGCAAAGGGTTCAAGGCAAGCTTTAATGGAAGCGCTCTCAGGCGAGGTTCCACAGCCCTCAAGGGAGTGAGGCTGGGAAAGTCGCACCCAGAGTGGATACAAGCAGGTATTTATAGGGGAGGGCTGTGGGTGAGTTTTTTGACCATATATGATAAGGAATGGAGCAGGGTTCAGTTTCTGGTTCCTGCCTTCTGAGGAGGGGGGAGGGAAGGGGATGGAGTTCACAAGATGGAGGGGAGGGGTGGAGTTCACAAGGTGGAGGGGAGGGGTGGAGTTCACAAGACGCAGGCTCCATCGCTACTCTGTTGCTGATTTCCAGTCCTCCCGATCCTGCCGGCCCAACATTCTGACCTTTTTTTGTTGTCATAGGGCGATGACTCAGATCTGGCTACTTCCTGCTGAGTAGGGGGTGTTGTAGGGGTTGTCAGAAGTGGGCACGTGGGAGTAGGAGTGCAGCAGAAGCTGGTTGAGAGATACCCTAGACACCTCTCGAATTCATTCGAACTTTGGCAAGAGTGTGGAGATTGGTTTCGACTACACCTGTTTCATTGATGTAGTAACAGCATCTTCCTTGAGGAACATGCAGGTGCCGCCTCTATCTGCAGTGAGGAGGTTCAAGGCGAAAAGCAGGGATAGAGAAATTAACTGAGGCCTGGCAGTTGCAAAATTCTTTTATAAATTCACCCTTCACAAACCACTGTTGTGACTTACTCAGACCTTCTGTGATGTGCTTAAACTTTTCTTCTTTGTCCCCATACTTCTTTCCATTCTGGAGCAATCCAGCCATTCTATTCTAGGACAAAATTCACTACACAAGATGCTTCTCCACACAAAAGTATTTTTTCTTTTTTTTTTTTTCCTTTTTGTCTTTTTTCGTGTCCGGCAATGGATCGCAACCCTCAGTGTCGCGCCCATACCGGACCGGGACTGGCAACGGGATCGCAACCCTCAGTGTTGCTCCCACACCTCGCTCAGCCAGTGAGCGGGAACCGGTCTGTATGTGGGATCCGAACCCTCGGCGGGAGCGCCTCCACACTTCCAAGCGGCGCACTATAGCAGTGCGCCACCGGGCCGGCCAGTACTTTTTCTTTTTAACCTTTGTAACCACAATGACATCTTCATAGCTTTCCCATATCTCCTCTTTTCCTACAATCTTGTCTCCTTTTTAGCAACAATACCAAATTAGCCTCATTTGCCTAAGAATTGCATACAGCATGATCTGTTTTTGGCTGCATTCACAACTTTGGCCTTAAAACCTTCTAGCAAAGATAAATGCAATCCTGTTTGACCAGTAAACCCAGGGGGAAAATGTATGCTGATAGTTCTGATAACATTTCTCATAGCAGTCTGATTTTCAAAAAAACCTTTTTACCCCCCTTTTTTTTCAGTAAACTTCTGCTTTAACACTTGCAGAACTCTGCACAGATAGACACACTTTGTCCAGGTTTCTGTTAACTAAAATCTCCATCTGTATCCTGAATCAGTAGCGGTGGGACTAAGAGACAGAGTCAGGAGAATGGTGACGTGATAGCCGAACCCGGGTAGGCCCCAAAGGCTGTGCCGTCCATACGTCTTGGGAGGAGGCCTCAGAAGGGGCACACTTAAGTTTGGAAAGGTGTGCCCAGGGACAGTGTCCCAGAATTTTGCGGCTGTGGGGGTGGTTAGAACCACCGTGTAGGGACCAGTCCACCTGGGCTGTAGGGTTTTTGGATGTGGTTTTTTCAGTAAGATGCTATCTCCTGGGGTTAAAGCCTGGGGAGTATCCACGGTGGGGTCCCCAGGGGTGGGAGTAACTGAGTCAGTGTGGGCCCACAAAAGGGCCCTTAAAAGGGTTAGGTAGAGTAGGTGGGATAAAAGGGGTGGTGGTGAGGCTGGAAAGTTGTGGGTCAGCAGGAAGGGCCATCCGTAGAGGAGTTCAAAAGGGCTGAGGCCTGATGGCCCCCTAGGGGTGGCCCTAAGCCTTGTAAGTGCCAATGGGAGGAGGGTTGGCCAAGAAAAGCGGGTCTCGAGGGAAAGTTTAGTAAGATGTTCCTTGAGGAGGCCGTTGGCTGTCTCAATCTTACTCAAGGATTGGGGATGGTAAGGGATGTGGAGTTTCCAGGTGACGTTCAGACTTTTGGAAACCTGCTCGGTGACACTGGAGGTGAAGGCTGGGCCATTGTCAGATTGTAGGGTCTGTGGGAGGCCAAAACTTGGGATTACATGTTCAATGAGTACAGCAGCTACCACGTCCACTGTTTCTCGACCTGTGGGGTAAGCCTCAATCCATCCTATAAAGGTGTCCACCAAAGTTAGTAATGGTAGGTTTTGTGACGTGGCATGTGGGTGAAATCAAGCTGCCAGTCCTCCCCCCATTGATGGCCTTGGAGCTGATGGTTAGGTTCCACTCTGCGAATTCCCCCTTGAGAGTTAACAGCAGAACAGGTGCTGCAAGACTGATGAACCTCCTCAATGAGCTTTCAGAGGTGTGGGTTATGGAAAAGGGGTTCTAGGAACCGATATGAAGCTTTTGGACCAATGTGGAGGGATTGGTGGACGTCTGTAGTGATGCTGCAGGCTAGGTGGTCTGGGAGGGTGACCTTATCTTGGATAAAAATCCAACCATTGTCCCTGATAATTCCCCCCAACTGATAGAGGGTCTGAGTTTCTTCTTTGGTATACAAGGGGGAATGGGGTGTGTTGAGGAAAAGGAGAGGAGCTGGGCCAGAGCCTAGAGCCATAGCCCAGGCCATGGAATTGGCTTTATCGTTGCCTTTAGATATAGGGTCTTTAGAGGACTGGTGGCCGTGGCAGTGAACAATAGCCACCTCGGTTGGGAGGCTAAGGGCCTCAAGTAGCTTTGAGATGAGGAGCCCCTTGATTATTGGGGTCCCTTTAGTAGTGAGGAGTCCTCATTCTTGCCAGAGGACAGAGTGAGTATGGGTGATGAGGAAAGCATGTCTGGAATTAGTGTATATAGTGACCCGTTGTCCCTTGGACAGGTGGAGGGCCCGAGTGAGGGCTATCGGCTCTGCCTTTTCAGAGTCTGTTCCGAGGGGAAGGGGTACAGCCTCTAAGGTGGCATCTAGTGTAGCAACAGCATAGGCTGCATGGCTTTGGCTGTCCGGGGCAATGAGAGAACTACCATCTACGGAAAGCACATGGTCAGGATTAGATAGGGGCCGGCCAGAGAGCCCTGGGAGTGAGGGAATAAAGTCCTCTAAAAGTTGAAGACAGGAATGTAAAGGGTCGGGAGTAGTGGAGGGAGTAGGCAGAGGGTCGCAGGGTTTAAGCCAGGGGAGGTGGATAAAGAAATTTGGGGATTTTTGATGAAAAAGACGTGGTACAGTTGGATTCTGGAAGGGGTCAAATGGGCAAGGGATTTGTGGCTGAGCACATCCCCCAAGCGACAGGAGGAAAAGACAGTGAGGGGTTGGCTCAAAGTAAGCTTAAGAGCTTCTTTGATCAGGGAGGCAGCAGCTGCTAATGCCCTCAGACATGGCTGCCATCCCTGGACCGTGACATCTAGCTGTTTTGATGAGTGTGCCACTGCCCGATAGGCCAGTCCTGCAGGCTGGGCCAGGAGGCCGGTAGCCAAGCCAGAACGCTCATCCGTAAATAGATGAAAGGGCTTTGAAGGGTCTGGGAGAGCCAGAGTGGGTCCTGCAGTAAGACAATCCCGTAGCCTAGAGAAAAAGTTGTTTAATGGTGGGGTCAGTTAATGGTCCCTGTGAGGTGTCCTTAGCTGCTTTGTATAGGGGTCACACTAGGAGGGTGAATTTGGGGATCCACTGTTGGAAGAAACCCACAAGGCCCAGAAAGGAGAGGATGTCATCGGCACTCTGGGGAGGCTGGAGATCCCGGAGGAGGCAGATATGGTCCCCTCTAAGGGACTTGGAAGTGGGGGTTAGGGATATACCTAGGTAAGTAACTGTGGGGGTGCAAAGTTGAGCCTTGGAAGGAGTGACCCGATAACCCCTAGACCCAAGGAAATTGAGAAGGGTGGCAGTATCCTCTTAGAAAGAGGATAATGAGGTGCTGCAAAGAAGGAGGTCATCCACATATTGGAGGGGCGTGCTGTACTTTAGAGTGCAAAGATTGAGATCTTTGGCTAAAGCCTGGCTGAAAAGATGGGGACTACTTCTAAAGCCTTGTGGCAAAATAGTCCAGGTAAGTTGTTATGAAGTATGTGTATCAGAGTCCTCCCAAGTGAAGGCAAAAAGGAAATAGGGTCTGGATGAAGTGGGACAGAGACGAAAGCATCTTTCAGATCCAAAACGGAAAATCGGGAAGTGGTAGGGGGAATGTTGGAGAGCAGGGTATATGGATTGGAGATGACCAGCTGGAGTGGGACTACAGCATCATTAATAAGTCTCAGATCCTGCTCTAGGCTCCGGTGGGCTTCTTTACGGGGAGGATGGGGTGTTGCAGGGGTAGCTAATGGGTATGAGTCCCTCCTGGTGGAGCCAGTCTATGATGGGTTTGAATCCTTGTCAGTGGGTTTCTGAAATCGGGAATTGAGGACGGGAAGGAAAGGTGGTTTGATTTTTTAATTGTATTTTTACTGGGGAATGGTGAGAAGCTACTATTGGCTTAGAAGTATCCTAAACCTGGGGATCTACTGATAATGGGAAGTGGGGTGGTTGGGAAAGGTCAGGTGAAACTAGGGCCAAAATAAGGTGGGTGTAAACAGTGGGTGAGGGGGAAAGATTAATGGTGGCCTGAAGCTTGTGAAGGCTATCCCGGCCGAGGGGGACAGGGCAGGAGGGGATTATTAGGAAACAATGAGAGAAGGGAAACCCATCCAGGCTACAGGAAAGGGGTGGGATGGTCCTTGGATTAAGAGGTACTGTCAATTCCCATGACAACCACTGGGGAGGGGAAGCTGGTGCCCGAGTAGGAAGGCAGAACAGAGTAGGTAGCCCCCATGTCCAACAGGAAGGAAATGGACTTACCTGCTATCTGGGGCATGACCCTGGGCTTGGCATGGGTGAGAGGGGTTTCCGAGTCTGGGCCCCATCAGTCGTCAACCAGGCCAAGGAGCTGGAAGGTAAGACTTACTGGCTCGGAGTTTCCTCTGCGTGGAGGCACCAGGGATTCTCCAATGTCAGGGCAGATTTCCAGTGGCCCATCCTCCGGCATTGAGGGCATGGGTGCGTTGGTTCCTTTGGATTTGGACATTGATGAGCCCAGTGTCTGTCAGCGCCACACTTGAAGCAAGCCCCTGGGGGGAGGTATGCTGAGTTACCCCTTTCCAATGGCTCCTGGAGCCAGCCGGCTGCAGGGCTGCTACCAAGGCTTGGGTTTGGAGTTGGACCTTCTGCTGGACCTGGGCTTGTCTTTTAAGTTTGGCCGTTTCCTCCCGGGCATTAAAAACTTTAAATGCCATTCTCACCAAGTCGGGAATGGGAGTTTGAAGGCCCTCTTCAGCCTTTTTTAATTTTGGGGCAATATCAGGGCTGACTGAGAGATAAAATGGGTGGCCAGGACAGTAGCTCCTGCCGGGGTGGAGGGGTCTAGGCAGGTATACTGAAGTAGGACCTCAGTGACTCTGTTAAGGAAAACAGTGGGATTTTCAACTGGGCTTTGGGTGATTTTCTGCAGTTTGTCATAATTGACAGCCTTATTAGCAGCCGCCTGCATTCCGGTGATGAGGCACTGAACCATGCGGTTGCGGTGTAGGCCATTCTGATAGTCCCACCCAGGGTCTGCAGCGAGAACTGCCTGAGCTCCTACCGGCATAGTCGGATCAGTTAAATGGACATAATCTGCATGTTCTTGGGTGACAGCCTGGATGCATTCCCTTTCCTCTGCTGTGAGGGTTGTAGTCTGGATGACATGTAAATCATGCCATGTTAGGTCATACACTTGAGCTAAATATTGTAACTCCCTGGTTTAGTTTCCCAGGTTAGCAGAGTAGGAACCCAGCCGCTTTTCAGTTTGGGAGAGGTCTTGGTGTGAGAAGGGTGCATGAACTCGAACCACTCCCTCGGTACCGGCGACCTCCCTTAAGGTCGGACCAGGCCGGGGGTAGGTGGGATTACTCGGGACCATGCCGGGTGGAAATGGGAGGCGAGCCAGGGGGTGAAGGTACTGGGGCAGGTGCCGAAGTTACAGTAAGGGAAGGGGGAGAAGGAGGCTCTGGATAGGGAGGGGGAGAAAGAGTTGCTGGCCCCCAAGCCAGCGGGCTGGCCAGGTTTTCAGGGGGTTCAGACAGAGGAGAAGGGGAAGGATTCAGGGGTTTTAGGGGCAGACGGAGCCGGTGTGGTCCGAGCGAGGAGGACTTGGGAAATGGAGCAGCAGGTGCAGAGGGAGGGACGACAGCGTAGGTCCCAAAAAGACTGTACGTAAGGGACTTTGGACCATTTGCCTTGGCGCCTACAAAAGTTGTCCAAATCTGTGAGGACCTCATAGTCAAAGGTGCCCTCGAGAGGCCATAGAGACTGATTATCCGATTGATGTTGAGGCCGGGCCACTGAACAGTAATAGATAAGGTGGCGCCTTCTCAAGGGTCTTGTGAGAGTCCCCAAAGTATCGAGATTGGCCAGCAGGCAACCCAAAGGGGTTTTGGGGTCAGATTTGGACTGGGCAGTTTCCATGATTCCTGCCAGGCAGGCCAGGGATTAAAACAGGCGTACCCATTTAGAATCCCAGGCTGCGGATGGAGGGAAGGTGGCTGTCCTGAGGAGGGAGACGTCTCCCGATCCTCAGGCACCAAGTGGGAGTCACCTGGTGACTTGGTTGAGTAGTCCTGACGTGGCCACGCGTTTGCAGGCAGGACCACCCAGATCGGGGCATGGAATTGGGGGAACTTACCCAGTGTCTCGAGGCATGGGGCTCAGATGAGGTCCTTGTAATGGGAGGAGGGAGGCCTCCCACTGGAGCCGGGCCTCAACCTCCCCCCGGGTTACGGCACCAGATGTCTGGTTCAAATTGGCGGTGGTAACAGGAGGAGCCAGACAAAGGGTTCAAAGCAAGCCTTAATGGCTCGGAAGAGGTTCCAGGGCCCACAGGGAGTGAGGCTGGGGAAGTCACACCCAGAGTGGATACAAGCGGTATTTATAGGGGAGGGCTGTTGGTGAGGTTTTTGCCATATGGTAAGGAATTGAGCAGAGTTCAGTTTCGGATTCCTGCCTTCTGGGGAAGGAGGGGGGAGAGGGAGGGGGGTGGAGTTAACAAGGTGGTGGCTCCATCGCTACTTTGTTGCTGCTTTCCTGTCCTCCCCATCCCGCTGGCCCAACAGGTGCAGAGATTCTAGTTTAGGCTGCTGCCATTATCCTTTGGGAGAGCCTAAATGCAGTTTTTTTATTTATTTAATTTATTTTTTGAACCCAATCTGGATCAAAAATTTGCTCAAACAAATTTAGATAGCTCAAACACAAACCCGCAGAGCTTTGTAATCCAAGAGAGAACCTACCCATAATCCCCAAATGCAGCAAGAAAATAGTAAGAATGACAGGCTCAGCGGTCCCTGGGCCTGGCTACTTGATGCTCCCAGAGGTCGCTGGAGCTCTGCTTCTGATCCTGCCTGACTATACGAAATATGTTAAATGAACAAGTTGTAAAATTTAACTGGATTTATTTGAGCAAAGAAAAACAAAACAAAAATCAGGCCCACCATACCAGAGCAGGTTCAGAGAACTCTCCAAATGTATAGTTTTAGTTAGTGAAAAATGCCATGGGGAGAAAAAACAGACCGAGGAAAGAGAACACATAGGGATTCTGCATATACAGGATGTTGTTATGGGTTGAATTGTTTCCTGAAAAAAGATATGTTGAAGTCCTAACTCCCAGAACCTGTGAATATGATCTTATTTGGATATAGGGTCTTTGAAGATATAATCAAGTTAAGATGAGGTCATAATGAATTAGGTGGGCACTATCCAGTATGACTAAATGTCCTCATGAGAAGAGGACAAGAGACACATACACACAGGGAGAATACCAGGTGACAGTGCAGGCAGAATTTGGAATGATGCATCTACACCAAGGAACATCAAGGATTGACAGGAATCACCAGAAGCTCAGAGAAATACATGAACAGATTCTTCCAAGCTTTCAGAGAGAGCACACCCTGCAGACACCTTGATTTTGTATTTCTGGCTTCAGAACTGAGAGATATTAAATTTCTGGTGTTTAAGCCACCTGGTCTGTGGTTACAGCAGCCCTGGGAAATGAATACAGATGTCAAGAAGGCCGCTCCAGCAGCTTATACCTCAGGGAAGAGCTTTCTTGGCAGAGGATGGAGTGAGTGGGAAAGTTCTGAGGTGGGAACCTGCCTGGCAGGCTGGACAAGCAGCGGGGACAGGGAGGCTGGAGGGCAGCATTAAGGATGGAGACCAGCTCGTGTGGGCACAGCAAGGACTTCAGATTTGATTCTATCCGGGTTTGGGAGCCGTTTTCAGCAAGGAACAGCACGATGAGATTTTCATGATTTAAATAGTCCAGGCTTTCTATGGAAAACAGAATTGGGGAGACAAGAGTAGAAAGAAGATGATGTGTTAAGAAGCTGCTGCAACTGTCCAGGACAAGAGGGCATCGGGCTGGGCCAGGGGAGGGCCGTGGGGTGGGGAGCTGGGCTCGGGGTAGATTCAGAAAGTAGAGCCAACAATATGCTGATATGTCGGATGCTGGTGAGAGAGAAGAGATGAGCCAAGTCTGACTGCCAGATTTTTGGCCTGAACCACTGGTGACAACCTCTGCTGGGATGAGGTGGCTGGGGAGGAGGGACACAGAGAATTTAGTTTTGAACGTGTTACGTTTCAAATGCTGATTAGACATTCAAATGTATAAACAACTTCTGTTTTTTCTCAAAAGATGATTTAAATGGGTTCCTCGCATTCCTTAAATGGGCATGCCTATGATTTGCAAAATGCAGATGGGTCATCTCTGGAACATTCCTACATTGAGAACAGAGTCTTTAAATATGCTTAACCACAGAAGCAGGGGGAAAATCATGTATAGTCCAAGATGTGGACTCCAGCTTTCCCTGTGCAGCCTGCCTGAGGAATGGTTGCATGGCAGCCGGCGTGCTGTTCGCAGAGAGAGACCTCAGCCAGCTTGTCAGCACCGCCCTCCAATGTGACTTTAATAACAGCTTTTAGAGCACAACCTGGTTTTCTTCCCACAAGGAGGGAGTCAGAGGGGTGTAAGTGTTGCCTGGAGCGTGTCCATTATCACCAGCAAGAAAGCAAGTTGTAACTATCGATGTTGCATGCCAGCCACTGCGAATGTGGTGTCACCTCTTTAGAGAGAGCTGTTTTATCTAGGGAAGCACAATGGTTAGTTAACAGAGACAAGTACAAAATAGTTGAGAGAGATTTGAATTTTGGCTAGATTGGAGCACTTGACAGCTGCTCTGTAAGTGGCGTTGGGGCATTAAGGCTATTGTGTACTCTGTAGGTAGCTTTTTTTTTTTTTTAACTTTGCACTAGGCCCTGCTTATAGAGAACACCTCATACAAGTCTGAATCCACAGAAGACAGGCACAAACAGATGAAGGCAGAGGAGAGGGCACAAGGCAGGGGAGGAAAGGATGGAAGGCCGGGCCCAGATGCTCGGAGCTTGGAGCAAGTTCCTAACCAATGACTGCAACTTTCTCTCTGAGGTAGGAAGAAAGACTCAAGGGCTTCAGAAAACCAGAGACGTGAAATAGCCACCACAGAAGGTGGAAGGGAGAGCTGCTTGGGGTCACATCAGGATTGCGGGGCACCCGCACCCCAGCCGAGGTAATGTTTGACATTAAGATTTCTCTCTGGGCCGGCCCGGTGGCGCACTCGGTAGAGTGCGGTGCTTGGGAGTGCAGTGGCGCTCCTGCCGAGGGTTCGGATCCCATGTGGAGACCAGTTCCCGCTCACTGGCTGAGTGCGGTGTGGGCACAACACCGAGGGTTGCGATCCCGTTGCCGGTCCCCGGTATGGGCATGACACCAAGGGTTGCGATCCCGTTACCGGTCAGTAAAAAAAGACAAAAAGGAATTAAAAAAAAAAAAAAGATTTCTCTCTGGGCTGGCCTGGTGGCGCACTTGGTAGAGTGCAGCGCTTGAGAGCGCGGTGGCGCTCCCGCTGAGGGTTCGGATCCCATATAGAGACCAGTCCACTCACTGGTTGAGCGCGGTGTGGGCACAACACCGAGGGTTGCGATCCTGTTGCCGGTCACGGTATGGGCGCGACACCGAGGGTTGCGATCCCGTTACTGGTCACGAAAAAAGACAAAAAGGAAAAAAAAAAAAAAGATTTCTCTCTGATGGTGCCCAACAGTGCCAGCCCAGAAAGAGAAATGGCAGAAGGCTGGTCCATTCAGGCCAGTTTGGCCAGGTAAGCATCAAACGACAAAGGGCCAAGGAAGTTTCACATGTTGGCAAAGAATGAGGTTTGGAGATTGGTTGAGGAGCTAATTAATACAGGCTGTCATAACTATCAAAATGCTCACATTTTAGAGAGTCTTCCAGGGTACTACAATCCGACACAGGTCCAGGTCAGTGGGTGGGTTTATGCCAGGGTGGGGGCTCTGCTCCCCACATCGTGCAAGGACCCAGGTCTCGGTGGTACCAACTTCCACATAGGGCCACCAGGTCTCCCCGCTGGCTGTGAGTGGCCAGCCGGAGGCTGGGGAGGGAACAGCGGGCAGTGCACATGCACAGTTGGTTTTAAAGCCGTCAGACTGGAAGTGGTTCAAGGGTGACCTCACCTAGCTGCAAGGGATGCTGGGAAATGTCATCTAGTAATGTTTCCAGGAAAAGGAGGAAGTGAGTTTAGTGACCAGCAGCCAGTCTTCACTGGAATCCAAGCAGCACAGGGTGTGACAGGAAGACGAGAAAGCCCCCCAGGGGGTTAGAAGAGAGTCTCTTTCCATTAGAGGAAATTATGGTAGGTTTGAAAACCAACCTCAAGTGTTTCCCAACCGGAGAATTGAGATGGGAATTCTCCAGTTGAGTGCAGTGAAATTTAAGGAGATTGAGAAACTCTAACAGATATAAAAAAGAAGTTAGTTAGAAGCACAGCTGTCAGCCACACTTCTCACATCTAAGGTGCAGAACGACGTTATGCACACCAACACAGCTGTCCCTACTCACAGTCATGTCACAGAACCATGTCACAGCACTGGGAAAACTCGGCACTTAACTTATATAGAACAAAATAATTCATATTTAAGAATTCTTCAGATTTTAATATGTGTCAAGAGGAATTTACTGGCAAAATGTGAGGCTACACCTCCCTCTAATGCTATTACTAAAAATGACTTTTAGAAATGTGCTCCCTATATCCTTGTGAAGCACACTGAACATATGTTTAATAGATGGAGAGACTGAGATCCAGAGCAGTTACAACTCAGATCAAGTGCCCAGTCAGGGTATGGAGCTCCACTGGTTGGGCACAGGGTTAGGGGCAGTTGCTGTGGACTCGGGAGCCAGTCCCAGTGCATGGATGGAGTGGAGTAACAGAAAGCAGGCATGTAAGAGATGTACTGTGTGAGGTGCTCCTGTACACCCCGGGCAGGCTCTCAGAGGCAGGTGAACTTCCCTTTCAGGGCCCAGGTGACAGGGCCCAATTCATTAAAATAGTGGACCTGTCAAGAATGTCACAAAAACCATAAAATGCAGTGGAGGGGGTGGTCTGTGAATATTACTATGCTGGGACATATTTTATCTCATTGTAAGAAACCACTTTTATTTGGGGAGAAATCCTCACAAATCCAATTTTTAAAAGCGTGCACAATAAGATGGCAGCAAAACTGAAACTGGGACAGTTCTTTTTTGGACCCATCTGCTGTTTCATCTATTAGACATTCCATTTTCCTGTAGTAACTCAAGGTAGAATCCCTTTGTGAGCAGTCAATCTTGTATTTACATTTTCTTTAAGTAAATAGTGTTCTGATCTCTTAGGTACTCATGGATATGGAAAACACCAGTGTTTTAAAGATGAATGAGTGTGTCACTATACAAATGGACAAGAACAGTTACTCCATTAGGCAATACTCTTTACACTAGTCTAATAATGACCCTTAGAGTAAACATCGATAGTGCAATGG